GCAACCCTTGGACTCTGCTCCCATTATGTTATTTTATTTATTTTATTATTGTATTGTATTGGCTTGGCTTGGCTTGGCTTGACTTGGCTTGCAATTTTTTTGTTGTGTTGTGTTGTGTTGTGTTGTGTTGTGTTGTGTTGTACTGTACTGTATTGTATTGTATGGCTTGGCTTGGCTTGGCTTGGCTTGGCTTGGCTTGGCTTGGCTTGGCCTGGCTTGCATTTTTTGTATTCTATTGTATTGTATTGGCTTGTCTTGTCTTGCATTTTTTGTATTGTATTGTATTGTATTGTATTGTATTGTATTGTATTGTATTGTATTGTATTGTATTGTATTGTATTGTATTGTATTGTATTGTATTGTATGGCTTGGCTTGGCTTGGCTTGGCTTGGCTTGGCTTGGCTTGGCTTGACTTGCATTTTTTGTATTGTATTGTATTGTATTGTATTGTATTGGCTTGGCTTGGCTTGGCTTGGCTTGGCTTGGCTTGGCTTGGCTTGGCTTGGCTTGGCTTGGCTTGGCTTGGCTTGGCTTGGCTTGGTTTGGCTTGGCTTGGTTTGTCTTGTCTTGCATTTTTTGTATTATATTGTATTGGCTTGGCTTGGCTTGGCTTGGCTTCCATTTTTTGTATTGTATTGTATTATATTGTATTGTATTGTATTGTACTGTACTCTATTCCATTCTATTCTATTCTATTCTATTCTATTCTATTCTATTGACTTGCTTGGTTTGGTTTGGTTCGGCTTGCATTTTTTTTATTGTATTGCATTGCATTGGTATTTGTATTGTACTGTATTGTATTGTATTGTATCAGTATTGTATTAGTATTATATCCATATTTGTATTGCATCGAAGAATTGCGTAGCAGCTGTCCAAATAAAGTCAGGAGACTGACACAAAACTTGCAGTTTTATGAAAATGAATATATTTATATTTACAGCAGACAAGCTAGTCAGGAGCACAGGAACATCATGAGGTAAATCAAAAAGCATACAAAGAAGAAAAAGGCGGGAAAAAAGGAAACTCCCCCTTTACACCCACAGCAACCAATCAGAGCGCAGACTGCCTCATGCAGGAGCCGTCACTCTCCAATCAATCAACTGCAACTGTGTATTCTGGTCCATTGTTATACTTTACTCTTCCAGCTACTAAATTAAATATCTTTAACACATTGTTTGGTATTGTATCAATATCCCGCCTTTTTTTATATAAATAACCCAAAGCGCCAAACATACTTAATACTCCTTCCTCCTCCTATTTTCCCCACAACAACAATCCTGCGAGGTAGATTGGGCTGAGAAAGAGGCACTGATCCCAGGTCACCCAGCCGGCTTTCCTGTGGAACTAGAACTCACCGTCTCCCGGCGATTGGTTCAGATGGCTTTCATGCCAAAGGCAGGACTGGGACTAGAACTCACCGTCTCCCGGCGATGGGTTCAGGCGGCTTTCATGCCAAAGGCAGGACTGGCACTAGAACTCACTGTCTCCCGGCGATTGGTTCAAGTGGCTTTCATGCCAAAGACAGGACTGGCACTAGAACTCACCGTCTCCCGGCGATTGGTTCAGGTGGCTTTCATGCCAAAGGCAGGACTGGGACTAGAACTCACCGTCCCCCGGCGATTATTTCAGGTGGCTTTCATGCCAAAGGCAGGACTGGCACTAGAACTCACCGTCTCCCGGCGATGGGTTCAGGCGGCTCTCATGCCAAAGGCAGGACTGGCACTAGAACTCACCGTCTCCCGGCGATGGGTTCAGGTGGCTCTCATGCCAAAGGCAGGAGTAGCACTAGAACTCACTGTCTCCCGGCGATTGGTTCAGCTGGGGCAGGACTAGGACTAGAATTCACCGTCTCCTGGTGACTGGCCCAAAGTCACCCAGCTATACAAAGGCTTGACATGTTTTTTTTATTTTTAATGGTAATTCTTTTTTTTTTATTATTAAATTTCATTGTTAAGTTAAAAATATAGAAAATAATTTAAAAAACAAAATAAGAAAGAGAGAGAGAGAGAAAGAGAAAGAGAGAGAGAAAAGCATTAAGAACAATGGCTTTTGATTTTCTTCGGGGTGGTAGATTCCTAAAACAAACAAACAATCTTTGGGCTTGGTGTTTTCTATCATTACGAAATCATTCTAATCCTCAGAGCTTAAAAATCAAAGTTTCATTTTTTTTCCCCCCAGCTTCTTGCAAAATGTCCTGAAGCAGTTTCCAAGCAGAAGGGAAAAAAAGGAGATTATTTTATTTCCCTGTAATGAAATTAGTCGATTTCGCCATCCCCTTTGCAAGCCACTCTTCCATTGTGGGAATCAACCTATCTTTCCATCCTCGTACACTTAAGTTCCTCGCTGCCGTTCAACATTTAAAATAACAAAAAGTTCCAATTTTGTGTTTTCCATGTTGTAGGAACCCAACTTTAAACCAAAGCAACCGAACCACGCGTTTTGGAAACGCGACTCACCACTGCATTCAAACCTGGTTAGACTCTTCCCACGTTTGAGATTCCGCAATCTCCAATTTAAATTAATCCTCCATCTCAAGCTGGCTAATCCCCAAACCTAAATTATGTAAACGCAATTGCTACGCTCAGATAATAGATATGCTCAGATAATCCAAACCTTTTAACAGGGAAGGTGGATTATCTGGTTCACACCACATGCGGTGACTTCTCCGCTTACCCAAGGCAATAGGATTGCTTGCTTGCTAATCTCCCTTTTTTGTCTAGTTATGTTGTGTGAAATCAAAACTTTTGGGGAGGTGGGGTTGGAGTTGGAGACAGCTGAGTAAATATTTCCTTCTTAGGTAATGCTCCAGAGTTACAGGTATGACAGACCCACAGAGTTGTAAGGGACCTTGGAGGTCTTCTAGTCCAACCCTTGGTGGCGCAGCAGACTAAGTTAAGTAACACCAGCTGCCTGCAATTACTGCGAGTTCGAATCTCACCAGGCTCAAGGTTGACTCAGCCTTCCGTCCTTCCGAGGTAGGTAAAATGAGGACCCGGATTGTGGGGGCAATAAGCTGACTTTGTATAAAAAAGAACATCACTTGGGGGGGCGCCGAAAGCCCTACTAATACCTGTATACCCTACTACAGGTATACAGATATACAGGTATAATACCTGTATACCCTACTACAGGTATATACAAAAGGATGAAGGCTATTGCTTAACGCATTGTAAGTCGCCCTGAGTCTCCGGAGAAGGGCGGCATATAAATCGAACCAATAAATACAATAAATGAACCTCCTGCTCAGGCAGGAACCCGATACCACTTCCGACCGGCAACTGAGCCCAAAATGTATGTTGCTGAGCAAGACGGTTGTTAAGTGGGTTTTGTTGCCCCGTGTTACGGCCTTCTCTTGCCGCAGTTCTTAAGTGAATCATTGCAGTCATTAAGGCGGTTGTTAAGGGAATCCGGCTTTCCCCATTGACTTTGCTTGTCAGAAAGGGGACCGTCATAAATAGGAATCAGTTGCCAAGCGTCTGAATTTGGATCACGTGACTGTGGGGAATGGTGCAACGGTTGTTAAGTGTGAAAAAAGTCACTTTTTTTCAATGCTGGGGTCACTTCGAATGGTCGTTAAATGAATTGTTGTAAGTCGAGGACTGCCTGTAAGTGTTCCTTTACCTCAGAAACTTTTAAGGTATTGGATTTAAATTCCCAGAATTCCCTAGCCAGACATGTTGTTCTGAGGGATTCTGGGAGTTGAAGTCCACAAATCGAACAGTGACTCACTGCTCTAGAAAGCTGAAACAAAGATTCTGGATCAGAGAACTCAGTTTAAATCAGATTTCGCCTCCTGTTCCTGTTGCTAAAGGAAGCAGCTAATTTTAGGATTCATCTGTCTCCACTCCAATCCCCCCCCACTATTCCCCAAAAGTCAGATCTGGGACCGAGGAGTAGTGCGCACTCTGCACATGCTCTGAGTTGAGGCCATCCTGCCCTGTTCTACAGCCTGTGAAGCCAGGGAGCAGAGTGCACTCTGCACATGCTCTGGGCTGAACCCCTCCTTCCCCGTTGTGGAGCCTGCCAAGCCAGGGAGCAGAATGCACTCTGCACATGCTCTGGGCTGAACCCTTTTCCCCGTTCTGGAGCCTGCCAAGCCAGGGAGCAGAGTGCACTCTGCACATGCTCTGGGCTGAACCCTTTTCCCCATTCTGAAGTCTGCCAAGCCAGGGAGCAGAATGCACTCTGCACATGCTCTGGGCTGAACCCTTTTCCCCGTTCTGGAGCCTGCCAAGCCAGGGAGCAGAATGCACTCTGCACATGCTCTGGGCTGAACCCTTTTCCCCATTCTGAAGTCTGCCAAGCCAGGGAGCAGAATGCACTCTGCACATGCTCTGGGCTGAACCCCCCTTTCCCTGTTCTGAAGTCTGCCAAGCCAGGGAGCAGAGTGCCCTCTGCACATGCTGGGATCTGAGCCCATCAGTGCACTCTGCACATGCTCACTGCATCCTGCAGTGCTGGAGTCTACCATACCAGCTGTAGTTCGGGGTAGCAGGACTGAATAACCCTCCTGGGCTTCAAATAAACCCGGAATCATGGTTTCCCTTCCCCCCCATCCCCCATGCCCTATCCCCACCCCCCAAAAAAGTTCCCAAACTTTCTTCCAAGCTGGAGGAAGAGCCCAGCGGTGCCTCCCTCCCTCCCTCCCTCCCGCCTTCCCCTTCCAGATGTTCCTCCCTTCCCTTCCCCGGGCTGGAAAAAAAAGTTGCATTCTCTCCCCCTCCCCTCCCTGCCAAGACCCCTCCCCTCTCCCCTCCCCAGAAGCAGGAGGAGGAGGGGGCGGCCCCTCTCGTGCACGCGCCCAGCGGAGCCGCGCCCTCCCTCCTTCCTTCCTTCCCACGCCGGGGGTGGCAGTGGACAGCCTGGGAAAATAGGGGGGGGGGAGGGAGGAGGAGGAGGAGGAGGGGGCGTCTCAGGAGGGGCGGGGCAGGGAGCGCGCCCCCGACGCGCGTGCCCGACGAGCCGGAGTTTGCGCGCTGGCGGGCGGAGCGCTTTAAAAGCCCAGCGCGCCTCCGATGATCGTCCAGCTGCTTCTTCTTCTCCTCCTCCGCTGGGCGAGAGAGGCTCGCTCCCGCCGCCTCTCCGAGCGAGGGCAGCCGGCTGGCGAGGTGAGTTCCAGCGATGCCCGGCGGGGAAGCCCTTTTTGGAAGCAAGCCGGGGAGGGAAGGGTAGACGGGACGGGCTCTGCTCTCCTCGTCTCCCCGGTGGGTGGGCGAGGGCGGCTGGCTGGCCCCTCTCTCTGCAGCTCGGCCTCCCCCCCCCCTTCCCGGGACTTGCTTTCGGCTGGAGAGAGAGAGAAAAGGGGTGGGGGGGGAGAAAGGGGTGGGGGGGGCGCTTTGGATTGAATTTTGCACGGGGCATCGGGGGTGGTGGTGGGGGGTTTGCGCTGAGTTTTGCACGGGGCATCCAGAGGGGTTGTGAGGCTGACTTTTGCACGGGGCATCGAATGGGGGGGAGGTTGCGCTGACTTTTGCACGGAGCATGGGAGTGGGGGGTGGAGGTTGCGCTGACTTGCATGGGGCATCCTGGGGTGGGGTTGCGCTGACTTTTGCACATCGAGGGGGGGAGGTTGCGCTGACTTTTGCACGGAGCATGGGAGTGGGGGGTGGAGGTTGCGCTGACTTGCATGGGGCATCCTGGGGTGGGGTTGCGCTGAGTTTTGCACGGGCATCCAGAGGGGTTGTGAGGCTGACTTTTGCACGAGGCATCGAATGTGGGGGAGGTTGCGCTGACTTTTGCACGGAGCATGGGAGTGGGGGGTGGAGGTTGCGCTGACTTGCATGGGGCATCCTGGGGTGGGGTTGCGCTGACTTTTGCACATCGAGGGGGGAGGTTGCGCTGACTTTTGCACGGAGCATGGGAGTGGGGGGTGGAGGTTGCGCTGACTTGCATGGGGCATCCTGGGGTGGGGTTGCGCTGAGTTTTGCACGGGGCATCCAGAGGGGTTGTGAGGCTGACTTTTGCACGAGGCATCGAATGGGGGGGAGTTTGCGCTGACTTTTGCACGGAGCATGGGAGTGGGGGGTGGAGGTTGCGCTGACTTGCATGGGGCATCCTGGGGTGGGGTTGCGCTGACTTTTGCACATCGAGGGGGGGAGGTTGCGCTGACTTTTGCACGGAGCATGGGAGTGGGGAGTGGAGGTTGCGCTGACTTGCATGGGGCATCCTGGGGTGGGGTTGCGCTGATTTTTGCACGGGGCATCCAGAGGGGTTGTGAGGCTGACTTTTGCACGAGGCATCGATGGGGGTCTTGCGCTGACTTTTGCACGGAGCATGGGAGTGGGGGGTGGAGGTTGCGCTGACTTGCCTGGGGCATCCTGGGGTGGGGTTGCGCTGATTTTTTGCACATTGAGGAGGGAAGTTTCGCTGACTTTTGCACGGGGCATCCAGAGGGGGTTGTTAGGCTGAGTTTTGCACGAGGCATCGATGGGGGGCTTGCGCTGACTTTTGCACGGAGCATGGGAGTGGGGGTGGAGGTTGCGCTGATTTGCATGGGGCATCCTTGTGTGGGGTTGCGTTTATTTTTTGCACGTTGTTGCATGGGGGGGGTTGCGCTGACTTCTGCACATTGAGGAGGGAAGTTCCGCTGACTTTTGCACGGGGCATCCAGAGGGGTTGTTTGGCTGACTTTTGCACGGGCATGGGAGTGGGGGTGGAGGTTGCGCTGACTTGCATGGGGCATCCTGGGTGGGGTTGCGCTGACTTTTGCACGGGGCATCCAGAGGGGTTGTTCGGCTGACTTTTGCACGGGGCATCGATGGGGGGGGGGTTGCGCTGACTTTTGCATGGAACATGGGGGGGGGGTGGAGGTTGCGCTGACTTGCATGGGGCATCCTGGGGTAGGGTTGCGCTAATTTTTTGCACGGTGTTGAATTGGGGGGGTTGCGCTGACTTTTGCACATTGAGGAGGGAAGTTCCGCTGACTTTTGCACGGGGCATCCAGAGGGGGTTGTTAGGCTGACTTTTGCACGAAGCATCGATGGGGGGTTTGCGCTGACTTTTGCACCTCGAGGGGGGAGGTTGCGCTGACTTTTGCACGGACCATCGGGGGGCGGGGGTGTTGCGCTGAGTTTTGCACGGGGCATCCAGAGGGGTTGTTAGGCTGACTTTTGCACGGGGCATTGGGGGGGGTTGCGCTGACTTTTGCACCTCGAGGGGGAGGTTGCGCTGACTTTTGCACGGTGTGGCATCGAGGGAGGTGGGTTGCGCTGACTTTTGCACGGGGCATCCAGAAGGGGTGTTCGGCTGACTTTTGCACGGGGCATCCCGAGGTGTGGTTGCGCTGATTCTTTGCACGGTGTTGCATCGACTGGGGAGGGGCGGCGGGTTGCCCTGAGTTTTTTGCACATCGAGGAGGGGGGAGGTTGCGCTGAGTTTTGCACTGGGTATCCAGGACAGATGTTCTGAGTTTTGCGCGTGGCATAGAGGGGGCTCCCCCAACCAATCTCCTTGTATGTGTGTGCACTGACAATCAAGATTTGAAATTGGGGTGGTTTGGGGCCGCCAGGGGTGCATCCCCCTCTTTTCTGCCATGGGGCTGGGGGGAAGGACTCCAGCACAGACTTTCTGCAACTTTGGAGCCCCCCCCCCCCGCCCCGCATCGGACCTCCGTGGCTGAATGGGACCTATGGAAGGAGTTTCCATGCGAGTCTAGAGAAAAAGATTTGGGGTGGGGGCATGATAGCATCTTCCAGTATTTGAGGGGCTGCCCCAAAGAAGAAGGGGTCAAAATATTCTCCAAAGCCCCTGAAGGCAGGACAAGAAGCAACGGATGGAAACTCATCAAGGAGAGAAGCAACCTAGAACTAAGGAGAAACTTCCTAACACTTAGAACCAGTGGAACTCCTTGCCACCAGAAGTTGTGGGTGCTCCATCACTGGAGGATTTTTAAGAAGAGATTGGACAATCATTTGTCTGACATGGTAGAGGGTTTCCTCCTTGAGCAGGGGGTTGGACTAGAAAACCTCCAAGGTCCCTTCCAGGTCTATTTTGATTGATTGGTTGATTGAATCACTTTGCTGCACTTTGCTTAGCCTCATTGGAAGAGTTAACCATGTTAGCTTGTTTGAAAAAGGGGTTGGGGGGGTTGCAACCTTAATAAAAGAGGGCAAAGGAGCTGTGGGGCAGGTCGGAAGCCTTCTGAACCGAAACAAAACAAGGGTGATTTTAGAATAGAATGAATAAGCGGAAAGGGACCTTGGAGGTCTTCTAGTCCAGCCCCCTGCTCCCAAGCAGGAGAACCTGTACTATTTCAAATAAGTGACTGTCTGGTCTCTTCTTTTAAGGAGACTCTCCTGCAAAGTGGGGGGGTCCCGTGCCTGGGTTGGACTACAATACCCATCAGGCTCGGCACCTGCGAACGAAACTTTGCAGAGATCTGGAGTACGGTATTTACAAGCAACTAAAGAGTTGTTTGGGTGAGGTGCAGAGTGATGGAAAGATTTTGTTTATTAAATTAATACGTTGCCCATCTTGCTAGCTGGATTTCTTGGCCCAGAGTACGGCCAGTCCTCGACTTACAACGTCTCGTTTAGTGACCGTTCAAAGCGGCAACGGTACTGAAAAAAGTGTGTTAAGGCCCGTTTTCACACGTGTGATGTTGCGGTATCCCCATGGCCATGGGATCAAAATTTGGACGCTTGGCTCATACTTAACGACGGTCACAGCGTCCCGGGGTCACGTGATCCTGAGGCTTTAAAGTAATGGAATTCTTTAAAATTTGAAGTACAGGTGAGTCCTCGGCTTACGACCGTTTATTTTTGTGACCGAAGCTAGAACGGCCCTGAAAAAAAAAGGGACTTACGACCGTTTTTCACACTTAACGCCCATTGCAGGATTCCGATGTGATCAAAATTCAGACGCTCGGCAACCCCAACTCATATTTACGACGGTCGCAGTGCCCTGATCCGCTTTTGCGACCTTCTGACAAGCCAAGTCAAGGGGGGGAAGCCAGATTCACTTAACAACCGTGTCACTAACTTAAGAACCGCGACAATTCGCTTAACAACGGTGGCACGAATGGTCGTAAAATGAGGCAAACGTCAAAAACAACGGCCTTAGCAACAGAAATCTGGGGCTCGATTGTGGTCGCATGTGGAGGACCTCCTGTAACTCAAACGCTAATAGGAAGGGATGTCTGGCTGCTGTATTTTTTCTTCATTTGCTAATGCTAAGATTCTTAATTTTAAATTTGTTTTAAAACAATAGGGGTGTTTTAATTTGTTTGGACCAAATTATTTAATGTGTTTTTACATTGTTTTTTTAAATTTTGTATTACGTGTGTTTTATCTTTTGGCTGTTCACCGCCCTGAGTCCTTCGGGAGTAGGGCGGTATATAAATCCAAAATAAAGTAAAAAGTAAAAAGATGCAGAATTTGAGGGAGTAAATTGTGACTCGGAACTGGAACCAATCAGTTCGCTTGGTTGGCTGGATCCAGTTTGTTCCTCTTGGCTGGATCTCCCTTGCAAAGTTGTCGTTTTGGCAGCCGAGTTGCTGGAGGTAGTGTGGTATCTACCTTGCCCTGATTTCTCGAAGAAGAGGGGGAATGTAATTCCTAAATATGTACTTACGCAGGGGTGCTGCTTGCATGCGTCGCGGTTACATCCGGGGTGAGGTTGGGGCAAGACTTTGGGCAGTGGGCTCTGCGAGAAATAAACTTCGGCGTTGTCTCAGATGTCCTCGGCACAGGGTGGATAAAAATCAATGAATTTTTTTAAAAAATCAAAAAAATCAGATTTTTTTTTATTTAAATCGGATTTTTTTGATTTTTATCGAATTTATTTTAATAAAAAACTTTGGGGTAAAAATCTATCGTAAGATAGTTTTCTATTTACGATACATAAATAATTTAGTTTATTCAGCTGAAATGGAGCTTAGTTATGTCGCAGGAGGCTCTATATTCTGCAACACTGGGACTATCGGTGAGTCAACAGTGGGTCAAAGGAGTAGCAGAGATGACAGTTGCTTTTGAAAAATTATGATTTGAATCGAGTTGATTTAAATCAAGCCTTTTTACTAATGATTTAAATCACGATTTAAATTGTGATTTAAATCAACTCGATTTAAATCAAATCCACCCTGCCTCGGCAGTCGGATAAGAGTTCCCGGTGTTCAATCATTCAATCCCGAAGTGATCTCGCGACTGGACTACTGTCGTGAGCTCTACCTGGGGCTACCCTTGAAGAGCATTCGGAAGTTACAGCTGGCGCAGAGTGAGTGTGGCAGTGCGGGGAGTTTTGCGGGCTCCAAAAATGGCCCCTGTGATGACACCACGGCTCTGTGAGCTGCATTGGTTAACAGTTTGCTTCTGTTTATAATTTAAGATATTTGTGCTTTAAAGCAGGGGTCGGCCACTTTAAGACTTGTGGACTTCAACTCCCAGAATTCCTCAGCCAGCAAAGTCTTAAAGTGGCCAAGGTTGGCGACTTTGCCGGCTGAGGAATTCTGGGAGTTGAAGTCCACAAGTCTTAAAGCGGCCGACGTTGGAGACCCCTGCTTTAAAGAGCCCTTCCTGGCATGGTCCAGGTTACTTGAAGGACCATCTCACCCCACTGGGATTGCCCCTACCACCTGTGCCGGCCGAGGAGGCGTGCTATGGGTCCCATCAGGCCGATTATTCCTGCTGGCGGGGTCCAGGAGCAGGGCCTTCTCTGCGGTGGCTCCTGCCCTCTGGAACGTCTCAACCCCGTGATGTGAAGTTGGCCCCAAACCCTCCTACCTTTTCATAAGGGACTAAAAACCTGGCTCTGTCAATTGGCTTTGGGGCTCCAGTTGGAGGAAAAGAGCCATGGAGGTGATTGATTGCATAACAACAGATCCCTCCTTCCCCACCACCATCACTCCACCCCAGCCGCGCCCCCCCCCCCCTTCCCCCATGTGTCTCTGGTTTTAATGTTTGATTTTTTAACTTTTGGTGTTTTTAACTGTAAGCCGCCCAGAGTTACCCTATGGTAAAATGAGCAGGCAATAAATTGTAGAAAGAGAGAGAGAGAGTGAGAGAGAGAGAGAGAGAGAGGAAGAAAGGAAGGAAGGAAGGGGAGAAGAAGAAAGAGAAAGAAAGAAAGAGACAGGAAGGAAGGAAGGAAGGAAGGGGAGAAAAAGAAGAAAGAGAGAGAAAGGATCGAAGGGGAGAAGGAGAGAGAGAAAGAAAGATAGGAAGGAGAGAAGAAGAAGAAAGAGAAAAAAGAAAGAAAGAAAGGTAGGGGAGAAGAAGAAAGAAAGAAAGAATGACAGGAAGGAAGGAGAGAAGAAGAAGAAAGAGAAAGAAAAGAAGAAAAGAAAGGAAGGAAGGAAGGGGAGAAGAAGAAGAAAGGAAGGAAGGGAGAAGAAGAAAGAATGAGAGAAGGAAAGAAAAAGAAGAAAAAAGGGAGGAAGAAAAAGGAAGGAAGAGAAAAAGAATGAAAGAAAGGAAGAGGGAAGGAGAGACAGAGAAAGAAAGGGAAAGCAAGACAGAAAGAAAGAAAAAAGAAAGAGAAACCGAGACAAAGAGAAAGAAAAAGAAAGCAAGACAGAGAAAGAAAGAGAGAGAGAGAGAAAGAAAGAAAAAGAGGAAGAAAGAAAAGAAAAAAACAAAGTGAGACAGAGAAAGAGAGAGAGAGAAAGAGAAAAAAGAAAAGAGGAAGGAAGGAAGGTATGGATGGTGTCAGAAGAATTCAGATTCGGCTCACCACTGTTCCTTGCAAGTAATAATTTAGCACAGCAAGAGATGAGAGAAGTTACATCTTGAGCAGCTGGATTTCTGCATGCAGGGTTTTGTTCCTCAGAGGTAGAAATTCCCTGCCTTAAAATCGTCCCGTCCTTCCTTTCTCTCTCATTAGAAGCATTTGGCTAGACCAAGCGTTGGGAAGACTTCCTTAAAATTTCAGCAGGGATTGCCGAAGGACTTAACCAGAAACCTTTGCAAGTACACCTGGTCCTCACGTTTACGACCACAACCGAGCCCAACATTTCCGTTGCAAAGCAAGATAATGGTTAGGTGAGTTCTGCCTTGCTTTGTCTCCTTCCTTGCTGAGGTTGTTATTTGAACCCTTGTAGTTAAGTCACTAACACGGTCGTTAAAACGAATCTGGCTTTGCTTGTCAGAAGGTCGCAAAAGGAAATCATGTAACCGTCATAAATATGAGTCAGTGGCCAAGCGTCCGAATTTTGATCATGGCGACGATTGGGGATCCTGCAACGGTCGTAAGTGTGAAAAATGGCCATGGGGATGCTGCACTGGTCATAAGTGTGCACAACGGTCATAAGTCACTTTTTTTCCAGTGCCGTTGTTAACTCCGAATGGTCACTAAATGAAGTGCTGTAAGTCGAGTTACTTGCCAGGGCTGTAAATAAATCCAGTCGGAAGCTTTACTTTACTTTTTACTTTACTTTTATTTGATTTATATACCGCCTTACTCCCGAAGGACTCAGGGCGGTGAACAGCCAACAATAAAATACATATATACAAAATTTAAAAAGCAGAATTAAAATCGAATTAAATAGTTTGGCCCAGACAGATTAAAACCCCAATCAATTTAAAACAAATTTAAACTTTTGAGTATTAAAAATATTAAAAAATATTAAAATTATTAAAATTGTTTAAAAAGAGAGAGAGAAAGTTAGGCCGGGCCCGCCTGGTGAAATAAGAACGTCTTGAGAGCATGGTGGAAGGTGCGCAGATCCGGGATCCTCCGTATCTCCGGGGGAGCTCGTTCCAGATCGTAGGTGCCCCCACAGAGAAGGCTCTCCCACTAGGGGCCGCCAGTCGACATTGTTTGGCCGACGGCACCCGAAGGAGCCCCTCTCTATAGAGCGTACCGGCCGGTGGGAGGCTATTGGTGGTAGTAGGCGGTCCCGCAAGTACCCAGGTCCTGAGCCATGGAGCGCTCTAAAGGTGGTAACCAAAACCTTGAATCGCACCCGGAAGACCACTGGGAGCCAGTGCAGCTCGCGCAGGAGGGGTGTTACATGGGAACGCCATGTCACTCCCATAAAAACCCGCGCGGCCGCACTCTGCGCCAGTTGGAGCCTCCGGGTGTACCTCAAGGGGAGCCCCACGTAGAGAGCGTTACAGTAGTCCAGGCGGGAGGTGACGAGGGCATGAGTGACTGTGCGTATTCTCTCTTTATATAATCCCTTTGTAATCCCTTCGCTGGCTTCGTAGTTTCCTTCTTCCTCCTCTTCCTAATCCTCTCCCTTCCCCAAAGGTGTAAGGTGTGTGTAACTTTTGAGGAGGAGTCTTCTGGAAATGGTCATACTTTCCCCATAATGAGTGATGATGAAGTTCAAAATAATCCAGTAAACGAAGCTGGGGAAACTCCCCAGTTCCCAGGAAAATATTGGCAAGAGGGTTAAAATGTGAATTTTATCTTAAGGCCTCGGCCGGGAGCCGGATTTCCTTGTCTTGTAGAAATCTGGAGTCAAGGGTTGTTGGCCTGCGAAAATGTGAGGTTTGTTGAAACTGGTTTTATGTGACATTAAAAAAACCCCAAACATGGTTTAAATATTATTATTATTGGTTAATCTTTAGTGAGATTCACAGCTTTGAGGCTGGTTAATAGCTCAGCAGCTCGAGTCCTAACCAAGGACCTAGGAACTGTTAAGGTATCATCGGAGGATGTAAGCTGTTCCGAGTAAGGTGGTTTTTTGTAGAGTCAAAACGTTCAAGTCCACAAATTTAGAATTTCTAAATAGCGGGGTAGCCCTTTGGGTATTATTATTAGTTTGATTTATATGCCGCCCTTCTCCGGAGACTCAGGGCGGCTTACAATGCTTTTAAGCAATAGCCTTCATACTTTTTTGTATATACCTGCTTAGTAGGGCTTCCCCCCCCAAATGGTGTTCTTTTTTTTATACAAAGTCAGCTTATTGCCCCCACAAACTGGGTCCTCATTTTACCTACCTCGAAGGATGGAAGGCTGAGTCAACCTTGAGCCTGGTGAGATTTGAACTCGCAGTAATTGCAGGCAGCTGGCAGCTAAGTGCTACTTTAACAGTAGTTTAGTCCACTGCACCACCAAGGCTCCTTAGAGTCAATATTTGTAGCTCAGGTTGAATTGTGGGGCCCTCGGTGCTCTCTGAGCTTGGTGGTTTTCTTGCAAACGTTTCATGACCCATCTAGGTAACAACATCAGTGTTAGAAGGGAGTGGGGTTTGTGAGGAGGGGGAGGAGAACTGGGGGTCCTTGGTGCTCTCTGAGTTGGTGGTTTTCTTGCACATTTCATGACCCATCTAGGTAACGCCATCAGTGCTAGAAGGAGGTTGGGTTTGTAGAGGAGGAGGAGGAGGAGGAAAAAGACTACGGGGTTTGGTTGTTTTCTTGCAAACATTTTATTACCTAACTAGGTAACATCATCAGTGCTAGAAGGGAGTTGAGGTGGAGGGTAGAGGAAGAGGTCTGGGAGTCCTTGGTGCTCTCAGAGCTTGGTTTTTTCATTGCAGTCGTTTCATGACCCAACTAGGTAACGTCATCAATGCACAAGATGGTTTGTTGAATTTTGCCCTTAAATGTTGGGGCATTTGAAGTTGGGAATCCTGGTTTGATAGCTTGAGAAGGGCTTCCTGGGGTCCTCTCAAAAGGTTTTCGACTTGCACTCTCTATATACCAGTGGTGGCTAACCTCTTTGCCGTCGCGTGCCAAAAGCGGGGGAGTGCAGGGAGGATGCCCACGTCCTCCAGGCTCCAGAGCCTTTCTTGGAGCCTGGGGAGGGCAAAAACAGCCTTCCCCACCCCACCCGGAGGCCGGAAACCGCCCATTTCCCGACTTCCAGTGGGCCCGGAAGTCCCGAAAATCAGCTGGCCGGTGCGCACATGCACGCTGGAGCTTTAGCTAGGGCAACGCTCGCGTGCCCACAGATATGGCGCCACGTGCCACCTGTGGCACGCGTGCCATAGGTTTGCCATCGTGGCTCTATCCAAAGGCTCCTCAACTCATAACCACTCATTTAGCGACGGGAGCCCGGCGTTGGGTGCACAAAGTGATTCAATCAATCGAAGCAGGCTGGAAGGGACCTTGGAGGTCTTCTAGTCCAACCCCCTGCCGAAGCAGGAGACCCTATACCCGTGATGGTGAACCTAAGACACGCGTGACACAGGTGGCACGCGGAGCCATATCTGTGGGCACGCAAGCGTTGCCCTAGCTCAGCTCCAGAGTGCATGTGCATGCCGGCCAGCTGATTTTCAGTCCTTCCAGGCCCACCAGAGGTTGGGAAATGGGCCATTTCTGGTCTCTGGAGGGCCTCTGGGGGTGGTGGTGGTGGGGAAGGCTGTTTTCGCCCTCCCCAGACGCCAAGAAAGCCTCTGGAGCCTGGGGAGGGCGAAAAACGGACCTATCGGGCTCACCGTGCCATTGTGTGTCAAAAGCAGGGGTCGCATGGGGGGGTTCGTGCGTGCATGCATGGGGGGTGGGGCGCATTGATTTATGAGTATGGACACATGTGCGCGCAACCCCCCTGCGCGCTTCCCCTGCTTTTGGCACATGATGGCAAAAAGGTTAGCCATCACTGCCCTATACTATCCCAGACAAATAGTTGTCCAATCCCTTCTTAAAAAACCCCAGTGATGGAGCATTCACCTCTTCTGGAGGCAAGGAGTTCCACTGGCTAATTGTTTTCTCTGTTAGGATAAATCGGGGGGGGGGGAGCATTGACGAAAGCAGTGTTGGGCTTGGAGCTCGGTCCCTTTTGTGTGTAAATTGCCACATTGCACATACAGGTAAGTTCCCAACTTGCAACCGTTCGTTTAGTGTACCTTCGAAATTACAACGGCACCGGAAAAAGTGACTTATGCCCGCTTTTTTCACACATAACGACCATTGCAGCATCCCTGTGGTCATGTGATTAAAATCCGAAAGCTTGGCAACTGACATGTACTTAATGACTGTTGCAGTGTCCTGGGGGGGTCACACGATCCCCCGTTTGCGACCCTCTGACAGCGAAGTCAACGTCAGGAAGCCCGACTCGCTTAACAACTGTGTGACTAACTGGAACGGCTGCCGTGATTCAGTTAAGAACTGCGACAAGAAAGGTCGCAAAACGGGACAAAAAGGTCGCTTAGCGGTGGAAATTTGGGGCTCAATTGTCGTAAGCCGAGGACTGCCTCTACCTAACAACGGGGGTGAGGCGCTGCAAGAGTGACGCAGTTTTTTGTCATCGCGACGGAAGGATAAAGGTAAACCGTGGAGTTTTATTTAGCAAGCATGTGTAAGTCTTGCAGAGAAGGGTGTGTACCGACTCGGCAAGTAAGTGTTGTGGGTTCTTGTTCCTTTCAGCCGGGGTTGTGTTACAGGGGAGTTTTCCACAAGCCAGACTAATAGCCGTCCCGTGAGTTTTGTTATTATTTGTTATTATTTTTATTTTTTGTACTGCTTGGCAACTGGAGTTCTCCACGAGGGTTACACAGTGATGTTTCTGGATGACGTGTAAAATTGCGATAGAAACACAAAGCCAGCCCCACCTTAATTTTGTTTACTAGTAGACAACCTTTGCCCGGTTTGGGGGTGAGGGGGTGGGTGGGTTCATCATTCCCGAGAGATTTCCTTATCTAAACAGAGAAATGGAATGATCGAGGGCGGCCAAAATGCAGTGGGAGCTGGACCTTCGACTTCCTGCTGGCTTCCCCAATGGGTTTCCTTTCGGGAATCTGGCAGAGAACCTTGTAAATCTCTCCTCCTTTTCCTTTTCCTCCTTCTCCTTCCCTTCCTCTTCTCCTCGAGGAGAAGAGGAAGGGAAGGAGAAGGAGGAAAAGGAGAAGGAGGAGAGATTTACAAGGTTCTCTGCCAGATTCCTCTTCTCCTTTCCCCTTTCCCTTCTCTTCTCTTCTTCTCCATCTCCATCTCTTTTCTTCTCCTCCTCTCTCCTTCTCCTTTCCCCTTCCCTTCCCTTTCTCCTTCTGCTTTTCTTCCTCCTCTGCTTCCCCTTCCCCTCCTCCTCTCTCCTTCTCCTCCTCTTTACCTCTCCTCTTTCTCCTTCCTTTCCTTTCCCCTTCTCCTTCCCTTCT